CACATTTCTAGCAATTTGTAAACACTATTATAATTGTGAGTTAATGTGTTTCAAATTATTTCAAGTGAAGATTTTTGAAAACAGAAAATTTTTCCGTGAAAAAGAACTTTAAATTTCGAATTTACAGTAGCGCGTAAGCGCCATTTTTTTTCAAAACGGCTCCAAATTTTTCAAAGGAAATTGTCGTTTAGAACGAGGTTTTACTGTTATTTAATATTCTGAAAATAATATTTCCGTTAAAATAATTAGGAAATCTATAAATTAAGAAAATGTCAACAAATGTACTTTGGCGGCGATACATGACAGCTGGCAAGAGTATGTGGCAAGTTTGTGTAGCTAGCCGAGACCAAAGCAAATTTCTTTACGAGTACTGCAATATCATAGTATAGTTTATATTAATACGCAGTACAACATTTCTTCACATACCAAGAATATAAAAAAATGTAGTTTCGCAACACGTGAATAGTAAATATTGAACGATGTTAGGCATTTTCCTTGCTTGCTGTCGCCTGATGTCAGCTGCGTCGCACGCACCAACGAAAGAGTTGTCGGCTCACATTTAGAACAGGTGGAGAAGCCCAGCCAATATTTGCATTTTCAGTCGAAATGGAAATTGTTCCACTGTTTTTTCATTTTTTCCGGGTTTCTAGGTATCTAATGAAACCTTAGACACCCGACATATGGCCAGAAGCCAGTTTTCTTACAATTTCTGTGTGCATTGGAAATTAGTAACTTCAGCAACTTAGTAAATGTAACTTCAAGTTAACTTCTCCCCATAGCACTTCACACACAGTTTTTACTGTTTTTTGACGTAAATAAACAATAGATGATTTATGATCTCAATAAGCAACTCCAAGTGCATGTGGTGTTTGACAAGGAATCAAGTAAACAATTCTTTAAATTTTGCTTATTGTCTACATTCAAATGTAAATTCTAGACATGAGTCATTGTTCTTGTCAGCCCAAATTTTCCATGAAAATTTACAAGCTTAAATGTTCCGAAGTCTCTAGAAGCAACGAAATGTATCATGCATATGGACGAGTAAACATATGTATGTACGTTTGACCATGTACGAGGAGAAAATATTAGCTTTCAGAGCCTGCAAGTGGCACGTGTGCGGTAAAAACGAGTAACCGAATAACTTGAGTGATTGTATCCCAGTGCTACTGTCTTTGTTTTTCTTCACTGATTTTCGTCCTTTTCTGTATTTTCGAAACGAAATGTCTGGCATTACGTTTTCAGTTCAGTACTTCATACTTTCAGTTTCAGTTCTTTATACTTTATACGTTCAGTACTTTTAAATTTTCCCGTCTCATGATTCTTCACATTCTCTATTCTCCTTATTGCTTACCCTCTGCAAGTGAGTCGCTGCCCTCGGATTGACTTTGGAATCACTTCCACGAGCACCGCAGGGGAAATTGTGGAACGAACTACTTGACTCATTGTATTCGTTACTCTTCCAAAACACCTGCTGGACTCGACCATACAAACGTTTCGATTCGTAACTTTTAAGCTCAAGGGTAATTAATTATCTTAATGCACTTTTGTGAATTTTTCACATACAAATAACAGAATTGTAGATGAAACATTCTTAATAATGTATGGTTTAAGCTCGCACCTCGAATATTGTTCTAAGGTAATTTTCTATAACGAATAAGTATTCTCGCGCTTTTAAAGTTTCTTGGTAGCTCAATGTGGCGGAATACGCACCGCGCGAAAACCTACGACGCCTTCAAACGCAGTTTCAATACCAATTGTAGGATTCGAACCCGTGACATTTTAAAAGAGACGTTCGAATGCAACACGCCACTGCCGTCCAATGCCATGCACTTGCATCAGCTTCAAGCATTTCCCGCAGCCTCTACTCAGTACCACCATCGCCACCGTCCTCTCAGCGCGTTACTCTGGATGTTTCACGAAAACATGGAAGCGCAGGCCGCTGGCCTCGCCGAGCGCGAGCGACAGGTGGCGCGGCGCGGCGGTCGCCGGGCCAAAGAGAGTATCCGGCTCCGCCCGCGCGGCCCCGGCGCGGTCCACGGGGATGCATCCGGCTCGGGGCCCCTCCGCGCGCTGTCACTCGCCTCAACTTTATCAAGTTCCCTATCTACTTAATTCTCCAGTCACAACCGTTTCCATTTCGCCTTCCTTCAGCAGTGCCTTAACTCACGCAGGTCTTCAAAATGTAAAATAAAACCAGAACGGATAGGCCTCCTGATGAGGAACAGACGGTAGCTAATAACGAAGAAGGAAAATTGGGTGGGTTAACAGAAATAAATGAAGACAGACACAAGCGCCGCGGGCGCTACGCGAGAAATTA